GGAAACAATAACGAAAACAAAAAGGAGCGCAGCTGTATGCTCTTACTGCTTTCAATTTGCTTCATAATAACTCAAGTAACCATTTGTCAGTGAGGCCCTCATGTCTATCTATGATGATACTTCAATAGTTCAATACCAAAAAAACCTATCTAATTCTGAGGTTTGTATTCACCGAATTTGGAGCTTCGTATTCATCAAATAGACTACAAAACGAGGGATATGTGTTTAACATTTCCAAAAACTCTCTCTCCCTCTCTCTCTCTCAAGTCCTAAAATAAGAGAACATTTCAGAAAAGTATATGTGTATTGGAAATTGCATAGTGAAAAGTACCTGGAAGTTGAAACCTCCAGTTACACCATCGACATTCAATACCTGCAGAATATCAGCTTCACCAATTGAAAAATTAAATGATCCAAGATTGAGAGAAAAAAGAACTTAACTGAACATAAACTTGAGAGGAAAAGAAAACTCAATTGAACATTCTGCAGCCACTGACAAAAAAGAAAAGAATAGGCAATTAGAGCAACAGTACCTCCCCAGCAAAGAATAGGCGTGACCTGATTCGACTCTGCATGGTATTCAGGGATATCTGCAGTTGGTTCCAATATGAGATAAAATATAGGGAAAAGGCAAAAAGAGAAAAGGAAATGTAGTCATGACTACATATCCCCAGAGAGAGAGAGAGAGAGAGAGAGAGAGAGGACCTCAGACAGTGGAACACCTCCAGCTGTGACAAATTCATCCTTGAATTGACCCTTTGTTTTAATGGAATTATCAGTTTATTCCAAACAAATTAAAAAATATATATATGTTTGCAGATAAAGGTGGTAAATGATCTACCTTCCCTTTCACGCGGAAGGAACAGTTTTTAAGTCGCGAAGCAATTGATGTTATTAAGTTGTTGGATATGGAAGCCCACAAAAGATCTTCAACCAAATCCTGTATAATTAAATTGGTCACTGAAAAACAGAAAAATGGAAATGCCCAAAATCCAATGTACCATGTTTCAATAGAATATTCGTTCAACCTCTTGCTCTACTATATATCTCCAGAATCTCCTCACAATGCCAAACTCTGAAGGAAATGAATTAATGACCCTTTGCTTCTGCAAACAAATATTAAATAAAATCACATCGTACTGAGAACTTACTGAAGTCGTTGTCTTTAACGCAGCACATTTTCTATATTTTAATCTTTGCCGATTTGTTTGGTGGTTGAAGTGAACATTAGATTTTCCTTATCAATAAAGATTGAATTTCAACTCATTCCCTACAAGACAGCTAACAAACAATAAAGCAAAACCTAATAGGAAACAAAAATGACAGTAAAATAGAAGATATTATTACTGGAAGTTTATTCTTGTGTTGAATAAGTAATGACTTCACATCTTCAGCTCGAACATCAGGAACAAAATCTACGAGAAGTGAACCTGGATGCAAGTATTCTTAAATTATTACCGTGAGAAGATGGTAAAATCGAGTAGTAAAAAAACAATTAAGTATCTATGTTACCTTTGTAATCAGAATCCGAGAGATCACGTGCTCCCCAAGCAGATAAACGAAGAATCACTGGCCCACTAAATCCCCAGTGTGTAACCAACATGGGTCCAACCTTTTGTTTGAAAAGCAAGATTAGATTTCATGAAACTAAAGATGTTAAAAAGAAAGCTGCAAATGAAAATCCTGCCTGTGAATGCTCAGGTATGCTCTTCTGAACAGCTTCTAATTTCAATTTTGCTCTGACCTTAGGAAATGTAACCTGGGCATCAGAACACAGGGGAAGAATAACAATCACTGAGAGATGAAACAATTCATTTCTTTATCCTATCGTATTGCCACAACAAAAAGATTGAAGTCCTTATTGAAAATATTCACTCGATGTTCTTTGATGAAGGGTTAATTAGATAATGAAACATATGTGTCCTAAAACAAATGCCCCTCTAGTATTATTTTCAACCTTAAAATTGTATCTTGAGGTGTGGGACTAAAAGCCTCACAAGCATTTGTAATACCTTCAGTGGACATATGAAAATGAAACAAAATTGGATCATTTTATTATCAGGCTAAATAATAGTGGTAGCTATTCGTAATTAATCATAAACCTGTTATGCATTAGCATATGCTTCATTAAAAACTCCACGTCTTACATGCATAATGGTCAAATAATTTAAACAGTGCAAGATAATTAGAGATAAATCAACATGCACAAGAGAGTTACCCCAGACAATTCAACTAACTGAAAATCATCAATCTTGAAAGTGAATAAACTGGGGACTGGTTTCACAATAGAATGACCAAGTTGAGTAGCAAGTTTATATCCCTGTACAGAGTAAGAGTTACAGTTAAGCCACAAAGGCTCGGTAGCATGAGCCATGAAGAGGACAGGAAAAACCCATGCCCAAAAAGAGTTCAAACATCATGCACAACCTGCTCACTACTACCACTGGCAATCATCAAATAATCAGCTTTGACATACTCAACATAATCAACTGTACGTTTTTCTATTTTGATGGAGAATTTCCCATCGTCGGATGTTGATGCACTTGAAACGGTTTTTCCAGTCTGTAATACAACTATTGGAAAAGAGTCAGCCATACATATTTTTGTCCTTAGAAATAATTCAAGAAGATGAAAGAACACAAACTATGTTAAGAACATGCCACGAGAATATCTTCTTACATTGCATCAATAAAAACTTCTTTCTGCAACAGCTATTTTTATAATAAATGGGCATAATTTTCTTATTCAACTATGGATACAAGAGAAGACGAGTATATACCTACCCCCTCTCTTTTTTGCTTCAGATATAAGGCAATCTATGATAGTAGATGAACTGTCAGTGACCGGAAACACTCTTCCGTCAATCTCAGTCTGAATAGCAGAGGTAAAACAAATTCACTTAATATATTATGGAGGGATGTATAAAAAATTAACAAATTTAAGAATTTTATGTTTTATGATGACTACCTTAAGTTCTATTCCACGATCTGAGAACCACGACATGGTATCGGTTGGGCCATGAATATTGAAAAACGATCCTCGTAACTCTTTATTACCTCTTGGATAATTTCCTGCGAGAATCTATACTATAAATCAGTACTAGCATTTATTCGATAGCATCCAAGCACACATTAAAACAAGATTAGCTTCCAGAATATTTATCAGTTTCAGATATTGGTTTAATATTAGACAAAACTCACCAAAACTGACTACATTACCTAATCAAATCGGAAGGTAGATCAAAATATAGCAGACCAAAGTGAGTGAGGTAAACTTATATGTGGTTTTCAACGTCAACAGAACCAGTAAAATTACACACATGAAACCCGACGTCTTACCGCATTATCAACGCAATGGCCGTTCGTCACATTACATCGACCACCACCAGAAATCTTAACCTGAAAATACACGAGAATTCCACAATGTAACTTTTATCATTTTCCGAAATAAACAGATAATATTGTTTAAAAAAAGTGGTACTCTCACACTATTGCCGTTGTGTTCAAGTTGTCTGACACCAAACAACAAGCAAACGAACTTCATCAAAGAAAAATAAAAAAATTACAAACCTTTGATAAAGGTTTCCCTTTCTCAATCACAACCACATCAAGATGGGGCGCAATTGTCTTAGCTCGAATGGCTCCGTAAATTCCGGCCGCGCCAGCGCCAACTACAACTAGAGTTTCCTCAGCTGACTAATCAAAATACCCAACAAAATCAAAATAAAATAAAAAGGGTATCGTGATTGGTTTTCGAAAAAGCGCAGAAAATGTTTACCTTATCAGAGGAGGAGAGTGCAACTGTGCTCTGCCTTCTTCTATTGTTTGAGAAAATAAAATACGCACAATTCCTGCGGGGGATTGCGATTCTCGACAAGAACTCGGTGTGAATGGCGAGCCGTGGCAAAGTCTTCATTTCGCAACTGGATTTTGCAGAGCGGGAGACGACGAGAAGTGATGGAATGGAATGGTCTTGTAGCAATTTAGAGCATGTTTGTTTGCATAAATCATAAAAAAAATTAACATTTGTAACTCAATCACTCTTTTTTTAACACAACTTTAATTCAACCTCACTACTATTAGTATTATTAATATAATTAAATAATATCAATCAATCATTCATACACACTACATCAACATTAATTCATTATTCATCCACTCACATTATTTTAACTAACCATCACTTCAAATCATTTTTCTCCTACTTTTACATCAAATCAATTTTAGTTATTTTATTTTAAATATTATTTTAATATACCAACTAACAACTAACCATACCTAATTTTTCAAAATTAACTAAACCAAAATAAAAAATCTAAACAAAATTTATTTTAAATAAACCTTTTTTTAAACTTTATTTTAAATAAATTATTTATATTTTTCACATCTCATCTCATTACAGAATTAAAATAAATAAAAAAACAATAAAAATTATATATTATTAAGCACTCTTTATGCAACATATTTTATTTAATGAATATTATTGAACCTTTTAGTTTTGATTTTTCTTTTTTTAAAATTAATTAACCAATCTATGATTGTTAATGTACAAAAAGTAATGGAATGAATCCAAACTTTAAAGTAGAGCTATTTTTTTTTCTTTAACAAATCAAAATCATCCAATATTTCTTTTAAGCAATTTCATATCGCAATTTCTATATATACTTCACACCAATTTATTCAATGACCAACTATTAGTCAAATTACTTATCAAAATTAGAAGAGAATCAAAATATTATCCTACATCATCTTTTTTTATTTGTTATTTAATTTTTTTTATCAAACAATTAATAGAAATCCTATTCCAATCATATAATAATTTAAAATTAAAGATAACAATTTAAAATTATTATAAAATAAAATTCATATAATTAAAGTAACAAATTAGACAATAGAACATTTGAAATTGGGTAGATTTTTCTCAATTTACGTCATCCCAACAGAAATCTGTAATTATGTTGTCCTAAAAAAATCATTAATATGATTGGTCAACATTAATTTATCATAAAAGAATTTTTTATATTAATATTCATATTAGTTTCATAATCGATTTGATTTAGTCAAACTGACCCATAATGCCAATTCCCCGAAAAACAAAAGACATAACATATTTAAAATTATGATTGATATTTTCAAAAAGAAAAATGTAGCTTCGATTGTCAAAATCGATATTTATGCTGATTAAACCATTCTAAAATTATGAAAATCAAATATTGTTCCATAATGCAACCTGATCAATTAAAAAAAAATTTGAACCATTCAATTGCACCATTCCAGTTTATTCGTTATGCTGATTGAAGCATTCCAAAATACAAATATAAATCTTATTCCATAATGCAGACCGATCAATTAAAAAATGCTGATTGAACCATTCGTAAAATATGCCGATCTAACCATTCTAAATCAGGTTAACTTTTTCTTTTTTGCGAGAAAAAATTATTATTTTAAAAATAATCAAACTTTATATATATATATATATGTGTGTGTGTGTGTGTGTGTGTGTGTGTGTGTGTGTGTGTGTGTGTGTGTAGGCTTCTCGATAACTTATAATATTTGTAAATGTTAGGATTCTTTCAATATCTTATAATATTTGTTATTGGATAATAAAATCTGGCCAATCTCATATTTTGTTTCAAAAAAAAAATATTTTTATGATATTCTTATTTTTTAAATGAATTAAAATTCTTTTTGTTTCCTAACAAATTTGAAATGGATATCCGGTCAAATTAATCAAATTTGTTACCAAAAAAGAAGGATTTTAATAGATTGGAATTCAAAGAAAAAAAAAAAAAAGAAGAAGTGAAATCTATTACTATAATAAAAATCGGATTTGGCTAAAAATAAGGAAGTGGAATGATAAAATCTATTACCATATAAAACGTTAGCCAAATATTTCATATAAAATTTGAGGGGGGAAATAAACATTTGAGCGGGAAAATGAAATTAATTTTATGTATTTTTTGAAAACTTTTTTCTTAACTGTATGTTGACATCCGAGTTCGCCCCAAAGAGGAGCCGGACAATAGATATCTCCCGAAAGCCGAACCGACTCCCAGAGCCGAACCGAAGACCCGGTCGAGCGCAAGCGCCGAGCTGAATTCCAAATTTAATTAGTCCAGACATCCCCGCGGGCCCGTCCACGAGACCGGCATTTGTTCTGTTCGGATACCGGTGCCGACCTGAGGCAGGTGACGAGATGAAGTAAGGTCCTGGAGGGCCAGAAGACCGAAACGTGATCGGGTGCTGACCTGAGTTTCTGGGGCGGTTGCCCCAGAGACAGATGCCGATCTCGATAATAATATAATAATGCCACTTGGAGAGCAATCATTGGTGATTAGACGGGGCGCCGTAGCCTGTAGGCCTACGTCCATCAGCCAAGACATAAAGCCTGCCAGCATTAATTGCCCCCCATGTGTGCATTAAATGCATGTCAGGCTATGATGAGGAAAACCTCAAATCGCATTAAATTCTGTCAGGGAGGCGCCGGATGCTCGGCAAGAACACTGTGCGATAAGACCCATGAACAGTGTCCGAACAGTGCCATATTTAAGGGCACTATAAATAGCAGTCCACTTCATTTATTTCTGGGTTGTTGAAATCCCAACGGTCTTCACTCTCTACATTCTCTCTCTCTAAACTTGTAAGGAATTCGTGTAAAAATTCGTGAGTATATCGCAAGTCCCGACCTCGTACGAGAGGCCGACCTCGTGATCAGTTAATAAAATCATAATTAAATCGTATTTCTTTGTCTTTTCCTCATTACCTTTTTATTATCTATCGTTTTAACCGTTGACCGGAAACGCCCGTCAACACTGTATTATATAGTAATAGATTTTAATTACTGTATATAAGTATTCTATTATACAATACTCGTGTACTACATGTGTTTGTTAAGAAAAAATATTCTTAAATTTTAAAACTAATAAAAAGTTAAGAAAAACTTTTTTACAAAAAAATATATATTGGTATATATTTTATAATGATAATTGTTACTAGTGCGACCTACATATGTTATATTATAATACTTTTTTCTAACTTATATCATATAATTACTTTAAAAGTAAATATATCAATTGATAAATATAGTTTTATGTTTCTAATTAATATTAATATTATTATTATTATTGTTATTATTATTATTATTATAAAGATAAACATAATTTATTTAATTTATACATACAATATGGATATCAAATTGAAATTCATCAAGAGATAATTGATATGATGTATTATATATGTAAAAATAACAAAAAATACAAAAGTTATTAACTTTTAAAATACATTTACAATTCAATAGTTATAAAAAGAAATAATATATAATGCAATTAACACATCTAACATGACCATAAATAATAAACATATTTATGGATAATCCTTGGTTATGAAGAAGGTACTCGGTTTTTGAGCAACAGTGACCATGTCCTGGGTCGCTATATGCGTAGCCCCAGGGATAGGTACACCCATAGGAATTTCGCGAGTTGATTTAGCAGGTTGGCTAGGGGGAGTGGATTCCTCATCATCGTCTTCACTCTCGGTGCGTTGGGTTAATAACGTCCCCAAAATGTGCTCAAGACATTCGTTATGCTAAACCCTGCAGGTTGATTAACTTCGTCATAATGAAACATGTTGAGTGGTACTAATTCAGAAATAAAAAGTTATTAATTATACTGTCAGTAGTTAAATTAATTAACAAACGTTAGATCTTAAACATGGGGACATAAATCAAGTGAATAAATCTCGAGATGAATTAAATGTAATTCTAGGTTAAGTAGGAAGTTCAACAATATTCCTTTAGTTGAATGAAATATTATTCATATAGATTTGGTGTAGGTGGACCAGAACATAAGTAACCTAATCCTATGAGAGTCCTTATTTAACACGTCCTCTAGGTCTCAGGTGTAAGCCATAAATTCACCAAGTCTTAAGACTAGTCCACAGGTGTGTTTTACTCCTCATAAAAGTTCCAAAACTTGAGCAACAGAGAGACATAAATTTTGAAAGGTTCTAATAGAAAAAAGATAGTGTTTAAAAATACATAGTCTCTTTCAGTCTTTCCCAAAATCCGATCGTGCGCGAGACTCTGAGAGAGATTCAATCAGTCGTTACCCACAAAGACGAGCTTGGATAAGTATCGGGTCATACGACAGAAGATCAAGAGATGATCCATCCGCATGGTCCCCAGGGGGCGGAGCTAGAATGTAAAATCTTCCCTGGCTAAAATTAATTACCTTGACAAAAAAATCTTCTAGAAATGACAAAAAAATAAAAAAAATTAAATAAATAAAGAAATGCATAATGGGACGAAAAAATCAAGTTTTTCAATGATCAATGTATCAAAATTAAGTATTTTTTAACTTGAAAATATGGTTGCAAGAAAGCATCATCATCCTCACCTTTCTATAAAGAAATAATCAACTTAATTTGGTCTATAGTTAATTCCCAACAAACAATTTGGTTTTTTAGGGGAAAAAACTAAAGAACTCTCAATTTAATATCTAAGAGACTGGAATTTGAAGTGATTTAGTCGATTTGTTTAAAATTTTCAATTGTTAATGTCGGGCTAAGATATAAAAAATAAATTTTTATAATACATTACATATGTACTAATTAACTATTATAACATGTAGTTGTAGAATTAACCCGGGATTCGAGTGCCTCCGCCCCTGGTGGTCCCATAGACTGTTCCATCTGCTCAGAGTCGTCATAAAAATTTTAAACCATAAGTTCTGAATCCTAACTATGGATCCGTGGCACTTATGATTCAATTCTTAGATAATTGATTTGTTTCAAATCGATCAACGTTCTTTACGGAAGCCAACATTGGTATTAACATACCATACACGGTAGCTATGTAGATGAAAGATCGATATATCTTGACAAATGGTTAATGGACCCATTAATATGCACTGAATGGGTAGATGAACGACAACAAATGGGCTCGACTCTGTAGTATAAATTTACCTTCTATTTAAGAATTTCATCTACTCAATTTCTATT